ACTCTTTCCTGCCTATGCAGGGGGTCGGACTCGATGATCTATTGAGGTCCCTTCCGACCCTAACATCTATGAATCTATAAGAACATAGCTCCTAAGGGAACAGATCATCCACAAGGCCTGCATGCATCCGAGGCCCTTAAATGTCATGTGACTTCAGATGGATAGGCAAAAACTGCAAGTGTTCAAGCTAATGAACAGTATCCTAAGGAGTGTGACTAGCTTCTGAAGTTTCTGAGTGGGAAACCAAAGAGGCCACATTGAAAAAGCAGGAAAAGGCCCCTGGACCACTATGCAGGAAACCAGGAGGCATAAAGTGGTGGTCAGTGCTTCTGGCACAGAAGGAAACAAACAAATAAGCATACCTAGACTCACAGTCACTCTCAGAGTTGAAAGACAAGAGTCTGACATGGAGACCTTCAATTGGTGATGCTAGGTAGCCCAGAGCTGGGGTCAGTTCCCCAGTTGTTGTTGAACTGATGGATCTAGGATTTGTGCAACACAGCCAGGACAAGCAACAGAGACTCCAGTTCTGGCTAGATCATCAGGATACTCAATGCCCAGAAGTCAAAGAAGCACTAACAAATGGGATGAGGTAGCAGGGGGCAGCCAAGGAGCACTGTATCTTGGTGGAGCAGCCAGCTTTGGCACAGACATTCTTGGTAAGGCAAGGCTGATGCACTGGATTTGTGAAGATGAGAAGGCAGTGAACCAGCTGAGAAGGCCCAGAGAGCGAGCTCATCCCTGTGCTTCCTAGGCACTGAAAGGGTGAATTCTCTGCAACTGGATGTTGATGGGGGGACTTCAGCGCCAGGACACTGGTGAGACTTGTAACAACCCCCCATGAGAGATCAGATTCAGGAAAGATGAGGAAAAAGGTGATGATCCCTGTCCTGAGAGGTACTCTTCCTTTGGAATTGTCTCTAAATCTGTAATTTCCAAAAAGATGACTTCTCTGGCACTGATGACAAAGATGGTCTCTCTCAAGCAGAAACTTGCCCTGGGGGTTCTGACCTTCAGGCTAGGAGGCCATCGACTTAAATTTACCCAGGAGGTAGATCTGGAGTTTAGCTTCATGCTCCTTCCAGGTAGGGGAAGTGAATAATCTGTAAATTGTGCATCTTCCTAAGGATACTGGACTTCTCTAAATTGTAGGGGCACTAAATTGTAGTACCATCACAGAGGGGACAGCTTGAATCCAGACAACTTAAGGAAAAAGAAAAAGAAGCTCACTGAGCTAAGGAGACTACTTGGCACAGTTCTGGGAAGCCTTAGGTCTCTCTAAAAAATAATGGAGACAAGAAAATATACTGAAAAAGGTTCTGGGTGCAGCTATAAGCCAAGAACTTGGAATATACTACAGAAGCTTGGTCTTGTATGATATACTCCTGTACATTAGCATACCTAAAAAAACCAACATATTAATGAGTTAAAATATGCACAGTACCTTTGGCATTTTTAGCATGATGAATGGACTCTACAGTCTGTTCCATTACTCCATCGTCTGCTGCTACAACCAGTATGACAATATCGGTAATACGTGAACCTCTTGCCCTCATTGCTGTAAAGGCAGCATGTCCTGGAGTATCAAGGAAAGTTATCTTTTCCCCAGAAGGCAGATGAACTGTCAAAACACAATTTAAAATACAGTACATTATAAAGAAAAGTAATGTGCAACATTCATCATTTTAATGGATACATTTTTATTTTTAAAATGGTTTTTCTAGCCTACTGAAGCCAACAGACTACCTTTTCATAGCATATATCATATATATATGTAAAATAATATATATATATTATATTACTAATTATAATAATATTATATTACTATATATTATATATATTACTATTATTTATATATATAACTTCCAAAAAACAACAAAAAAAATCTGCTAATGAGCACAGGCCCTAAATAATGACAGTGCGGTACATCCTAAAGGTAATATAAAAATGATCTCCCAAGTATTTTAAGTTCATACGCCTTTCTATAACTATGCTGGCTTTTGGGACTGGGAGACAAACCAAATGGTAGTTTAGATCAATGATACATTTATACATGTTGGGATTGTCAAAGGACCCTGCAGCAGATAGGCATCCACTCTACATGGCCACAGCTGAAGCTGGGGTTTTTAAACTGAGATGAGCTGGTGCTCCAGCTTATATAAAAACCCACAGGTTCCTGGTTGGAGTGTCTTGATTTTCTGTTCAGGGTCACACTAATCACCAAATTTGGGTCAAGGAAGAATTTTTCTTCTAAGTCAGAGTGGCATGGTCTGTACAGGGTTTTGCCTTCTCTATAGCATAGAGCACGGTTCTCTCTCTAGGATCTTCTCAGCAAGCATTAAACAAGGCTTTCACTGTCACTGCAGTGGCAAGGCACTGTCGGTGCCCTCATCTCCTGTATGTTTACCTACGGTATATTATAGGACGTTTCTGGTATTTTGGATATTGTTTCTTGAGGCTGACCGCAGGGGTGCAAAGTACTAATTTGTGGATTCCTTTGATTAGCAATTACCTATGTAGAGACTGGACTTGATTGCCCAGGAAACCGTCTCCAGCCCTATCTTTCTATTTAAATGGAAGCCAGGTGCCTTACTGCCCTAGGCCCTTTTGAAAGTCCTAGTCATAGTACCTTTCATCAAGAAATAACCTAAAACATTTGGCATTACATCAACACCCCTCCTTCCACTTCACATAGGAAACATGGAGACTTCCGAAATGAAGCACAAGTCTTTAGCCACCTTACAACAATTTCCTATCTTCATACATACAGTTTTACAGCTTTTAAGAAAACACAGGACAGCTATACTCTAGGATGACCTGTAGATGCAGTGAAAAAAATGGTATCCCTGATAAAAATTATGAGGACTGTACAAGTGGGTATTTGAAGTTCAAAAAGCAGGGTATATGTAGGAAGTGAAAGCTATGCCCCACCTGCTATCAAACGGGGATTAAAAGTAGGGAGACGCTGTATCCCTGGAATTTTTTACTGTGGCTATGGAACAATTGGTACAATCATTATGAAATCTGCAGGGCAGAGTGATTTTAAATGGCCTGTCTTAGCCAAATAATTAACATATATGTAAAGTTATCAGGGAGACAGAAAGAACAACTGGAGACTCAAAGGAAGTGGCAAGATAAATGGACTTTTACCTAGAAGCGATGAGTACTAATAACAATTTTCAAAAGGAGCAATAAATAAAAATAAAGGTGTCAATACCAAGCATGAATGCTTGCTAATTATTGCTGTAGCAACTTTTTACAGCTGAGGAAGACCAAGCCTCTGATATGATGGAGGTATGCTGCATGCATACACCCAACTCAGCCCCACATACCAAATGCAGAGGTGAGGGTCCAGTCTGAGATCCACAAGCTGCACAGGCCATAAGGCTCTGCAGCCAGATCTTTGACACCCCTGGTATATGAGATTATAAAAGCCTACTGTTGTATTTGGATGTGTTCCTGGGTTATTTATTATGAAAAACAGAGATAGAGGAAGATGAGAGGAAACTAAATACTTTCAAAAATAAAATAAATGTATTTAAAGACATGAATTTTGAGAATAGAAAAGGGAAACCGTATGGAGAAAAGTCTAATTGCTATGAAAAAATCAAGTATAAGAAATGAAGTGAAATTCCAACAACTTCAGTGTGGGCAGGACATATGGTTAGGATTATGTAAAACAGACTAACTGAGGCCATTGCTATAGTGTCTGGCCTCCAGTTTTGTCAAGGAATCAGTGTGGGCGTAATACTGAGCAAACCTAAGAGCTCATTAAGAATTGCTAGCTACAGGAAAGCCATGTCCTCAACAGAAACAGGCAAGAACAAATTAAAAGCACTGCCAAGGACCTCTAGGATATATATCTATATCTACAGATCTAAAGATGACCTTCAATAATTTTTTATTTACAAGGGAAAGTCACTATCATCCATCTATTCATAAACAAACATGCACAAAGGAAAATGGGCAAATCATCTCCTAGCACTTTGCCTCCAGGTCATACTTGGTGGGAGCAGAGCAAACAGATGCCAATTCCAATTTTAGCAATCTATACACTAGACCAGGGCTTCCCAAACTTTTCCTCAGCGTGACCCCATATCCTCAGCATGACCCCTCACTCCCAACCCACAGCCCCTCACAACCCCAGGTGCCACCCACCCACAGCCCCCCAAACCCCTCCAGGGGCCCAGGGCCCCCAGCCCCTACCCCCACAACAGCACCAGAGCCCTGGCTGCCATCCACAGGCTGCAACGGCTGCTGTGGCCAGAGTGGAGTGCAGAGCCCAGCTGCTCCAGAGCAGAGCCTGGTGGGGAGAGAGGAAGAAGTGGGCTGCGTGCTGTAGGCTTGGGACTCCCTGCCTTGCCACCATGGCTACCAGGCTGAGGAGTCCCTTGCTTACCCGACAGCAGCATAGGCACATCTCTGCACCGCCACCGCTGCCGTGCCTGGCCTTGGTGGCACAGCACTCCCTCCCACAATGGGTCTCACCCGCTGAGCCACAGAGGTGGGTCCTGCCTGGAGCTGCTACGTCCTAGCTGCAGCCCCGCATCCCGCTGTGAGTGCGGAAATCTCAGGGGGCACATTTATTGCGACTCCATCTGCTGATGCTGCAACCCCATTTGGGGTTACGACCCACAGGTTGGGAACCGCTGACCTACACCATACCATTTCTCTAAGACACCAAGAAATAAACAGCATAAGTTATTCAATAGCATTTGGCTTACAGAGCCAAAGGGTTTGCCAGTGCCCTCGCTGAGGTTGGGCAGCAAAGAACTGCACCAGGCCTGGGAGCTAGGAATTGCGAACTGTATCTGCATTGCTGCTGCTTCTCTCCCTCCCCTCTCCCCAAGACGGTGGTGCAAATGCAGCTTCTAGACGATGGAAAGATGTAGCAGGATGGGGAGAAGTGGAAGCAGTTTCTAGTTCTCCAGCCCCAGTGCAGCCCCCCTGGGTGGAAGTTGCAGTCGCATCACAGCCAGGAAGCAGAGGGCTGGGAGAAACAATAGCAGCACAGGCACAGCTTCCATCCAGAAAAGCGCTCACTCAGAGGGGCTGGAGAGATGCATCTACACTGCTCCCATTACTACCCAGCCCCTGCCCAACCCCAGCACAGCTTATCACTGGCTGGAAGCTACACTTGCACTGCAGCTGGTGAATGAGTGGCTGGGAGAAGCAGTGGCAGTACAAGCACAGTTCCAGCTTGCTGGCTCCAGCTAGGGCACAGGGAAAGCCCCCTGCTGCTGATGTGCTGCAAAGCCATCTGGCTCAGGTTGGCCTGGAGCTGGGTTGTTCCAGCATGCAGCTTGAAAAAGGTTGCTGGCCCCTGGCATAAGCAATAGGGACTATGAGAGGAATTTTAGGCAGGCATGCTACACTTAACCAAACTGTAGTGGGGCCTGGAAACAGGGGTATCTTTATCCCCATTTCAACACAAAGTGTCACAGGATCTTTAATGGCTCCCAAGTGATCTAGATCTACAGTGCAGATCATGTGCATAATGCTTTTAGACTGCACCCAAGCAGCATGGCTTGTGATTCACAGCAAGATCATATTGCTATTAGAGCAGTGGTTCTCAACCCATGGCACAATTAGCACACTGCTGTGGCCCATGTGACTTTTTAAAAATAAAATAAGTAAAGACATTTGACAATGTAGAAATGAGAGGCATTACAAAATATTGATTTGTATTGCATTATTTTCAGATAACAGACACAAAACATTTTTAAATGGATACACAAGAAGTTAAGTTGCATGGGTACGGCCCACATAACACATTGAGAGCTGCAAATGTGGCCCACTATGGCAAACAGGCTAAGATCCACTGCTATAGAACATACCTTGCATGCACTGTTCTTCAAGTAAACTGTAAGCAAAGCAGCAATACATCAAAATTGATTATAATGTATTTATTATGGTAAACAGTGCATCGCAAACTTATATATATATATGGTTAAATCATACCAAGAAAGGCACCAATATGTTGAGTGATGCCTCCTGCTTCCATTGCTGCCACTTGAGATTTTCGCAGATTATCAAGTAAAGTTGTTTTCCCGTGATCAACATGGCCCAAAATAGTAACAACTGGGGGCCGTGGGGTTAACAAAGCTGGATCTGCAGGAGGCCTACAATTAACAGCAAAACATTTGCTTTGCAAATACCAGAAACATTATTTGTGTAATATTTAAGGTGATAATAATCGTTATGCATAGTCAGTAGCCATGAATCATTGCTTAATGCTGAATAGGTCAGTCAAGCTTCTCCCCAATTCTTCACATAGGAAAAAAAATGAAGTAATCGTAACTAAATCAAGCATTTTGCTCCCTTTATAGCAAACAACATTTGTGATTTCTGCATCATCTAATACAGCAATTAACTGGAGAAAGCAAAGACAACTTTTGTTAAGAAGCTGCATAAAAAAAATCTACATCTAAAACAAATAATTGTGAATCAGAATTCCTACATTAAGTTTCTAGGCAAAGCATTTAATCCGTTTAAAATTTACTTTTTAATTATCAGCTATGTATCATGTTTCCTAAGTTACAATTTTAATATCATTAGGAAGATATTGGCATAAATACATTATTTCAATTAACACAGTCAAAGAGAGCAATCAAAATGTTACCTTTTTACAACATCTTTATTTTTTCTCATTTTCTTTTTAAGTTCTCTCTGCTTGTATGTCATCCCTGATTTTTTAACAGCTTCCTTTACCCATACTTCTTCTAAGACTGAATTTGACGTTAGTGAGTCTAGGTCAACGTTGGTGTTCAACAGGGTTTCATAAACATGGTCTGATTAAAGAAACAAATTAGACAATTCAAACTTGATCCTCCAAAACACGTGGGACAGAAGTAACCTTTAGTACAGTATATTCTTTCATCCAATAATAGTCCAGTTCAAGGAAAAGCAAATTAGGTAAAGGAAGAGTGGCAGCTTTCACACTTTTCCTACATATACTGTATATACATGAACTATTTATACATTTTACAGTTGATTTATGATTTCCCATTGTATTCTATTCAGAAAGTATTTTTGTTTACAAAGTTCCTGTAATAACTTAAGTAAGATTTTCAGAAACCAAAGTCTCATTAAATGCTATGCCATATTTTATTCTTATGCTTAACATTTAAAAACAGTGTGCTTTATATCCTGCACATACCATACAGGAATAGCATTAAAACTTAAGTTCTCTGAACCAGTGGAAATAGCTAAAACAATTGCTTATAGTCCACAGGGAATCAGATGATCACAAGATACTGGTTCCAGCTGTTACAATGTACTAGAAATTGCTAAAATACTTTCCTTGCATCACTTTCCAAGGTGGTTCCATTACAGTAAATGTCAGAGGTATACAATGCAATTGTAAATGGGAGAGGAGTAGGCCCTTTTAATTGTAAATGGGAAGCAGCCAAAATTAAGTGCCAAATTCTGCCTTCCAGAGCTCATAAGAAGTCTGAATTTCACACTGTATTTCAGGTAACACTAATACAGCGTGAGCAAATGGATTTATTTTTCAAAGTTACTTCCTCTGTAGTCCTAATCTATCCCAATGCACTAAAAGTCATACCAAGTGCCCCATACAAATTAGATTTGTTTTGCAATTATCCAAGAGATATCTTTAAAAGTCCAGAACAGACCAATATTTTCTTTGCTTCAGCTCAAAGGAGTTAAGACTCATCATCATAAATTGGAGGGCTGCAAAAGAGCTACTGAAAGTGGCAAATCTGTTCATGCCACTGTTCATACCTTCTCTGGTATTAGAAATGCAGAACACATTGCAACAATTAAGACTTGCTAATGAGTGACATGAGCACCATTAGAAATCTTAATGAGTCAGCAGATCTCCGAGACACAAAGAGACATGGCGGATTCTTTTTGTTCTCAGCACAAACTGAGAAAGGCTGCTGAGGTGGAATTTTACACAAGTACAGAATTAGATTTTAACACTCCCCTCTCCCCTGCCAGAATATGTAGGTGTTACGAATATAATTATTCTCTGGCTTTGATGATCCAAGATGTCCTAGAGGCTTCACTGGACTGCACCTGAAATAAACATTAATGTCACCCATCTACAGCTGAACCAGCAACCCACCCAGCACAGACAAGGAGAGTTGCAATTTACATGGGTGGAGGTTACACCTGGTTTAAGCAGATGTAACCTCAAGTATTATAAAACTCAGCTTTCTTTGTATTCCACATTTTGCAATACTGCAGTTACATCAACAGCTGGAGTTGAGGCAGAATCCCAACACTGATGAAGCCTAAATACTTCTATTTAACAGACACCTGGCATTTTAAAAGAGAGGAATTATAACAGCTTATTTGCCTGTGAAAAGTCAAGATGTTCATTATCATAGCACTGTAGTATTATTATTGCTCCAATGTCTGTTGTCTTTTACTGTAGATTTTCAGCCTGGAAACCTCTCAGCACCTGAACCTCTTTTCAAATGAGGTCTGATGGGAAGATGGGCTAACATTGTAGTTACAGCTGCCCTACAGTTCTGCACTGAAACACTTACAGAATTCCAGTCAATTTACATAACAGGTAGAACATTTTACTAACAAGGGCTAGTGTTAAACTAGTTCTCTACCTGTTCATTAAAAAAGGTGCAGAATGAGAAAGAAAAGAAAATCCAAGTAACAGGAGGAGAGCATAAAAAAAAAGCTGGAAATATACACAGAAAAAAAAAGAATAGTGAATCTACAAGCATTTTCTTTTAATTTTATTAACACAATAGGCATTGCTGGAGCCATAGCTTATTTGACAATAGGCATTGTGATTTATTGTGGATGCTGGTAAATAAATGTTACTCTAGAGCAGTGGTTTTCGACCTGTGGTCCATGGACCATGTCTAAGGTCTGCAAAAGATGATTATGTTAAATCAAGAGTATGTGAATACTCACACATTCAAAGGGGTCCACACCACCATTCAAAATTTTTTAGGGGTCTACAAATTAAAAAAGGTTTAAAACCACTGCTCTGGAGAAACATTCCCCATTAGCCTGTGTAAAGCTTCGGCTGCCAATTTGTTTCGGAGGAGATTCAGTGGCCAAATCTCCAAATTCAAATCGAATCAGGAGACCCATTAAAAAGTCAAAATCAAATCCGAAGCCTCTGGATTGATTCAGAAAAGCAGAGATTCGGATCAGCTGGGGGGAGAGGCAGGCACAGCCGGAGGAGCCATGGGAGAACCTGCAGCTGCCCATCTATGCCTACCTCTCCCTGGGTGGGGGGAACCCTGGGAAAGCCCCCATGGCTGCCCTGCCCAGCCCCAGCCTTCCGGCACTTAAAAAAAAAAAAAGCCCCACACTCACCAGCTGTAGCAGCAGCAATCAGGGCCTCTGAGGGCTTGTGGCAGAGCCCCGCCTCCCCACGCAGCACGGGGCAGTGGGGAGCAGCGGGGATCACCTCCCTTGCCTGGCACCTGCCCCGTGGTGTGGGTGCAGTGTGGCCTGGCAGGGTACCGCATGCTATCTGGGAGCTGGGGCTGAGTGGTGCCAGGCTCCAGCTGACTGCCGAAGCCACCCCAGCTCCCAGACAGCATATGGCAACCTGTTGAGCTGCACTGCACCTGCCTGATGTGACAGCTGCTGCACAGGTGCCAAGCAGGGAGGCAATCCCCACTGCCCTCCAGGGCCCCATGCTGCAGTGGGGAGCCTTTGCCATAAGCCCCCAGGGACCCTGATCACCACTGCTACAGCCAGTGTGTGTGGAGATTTTTTTTTTTTTACATGATGGGAGGCTGGGGCCAGGCAGGGGATGGGGCCGGGCAGGGTAGCCATGGGGGCTTCTGCCACAGCTCCCCCCACCTGGGGAGAAGCAGGCACAGCTGAAGGAGCTGTGGGAGAACCTGCAGCTGCCCAGTTGTGCCTGCTTCTCCCCGGCTGATCTGAATCTCTGATTCTGAGTCAGCTGAATCAAATGCAGACAGTGAGTCAAATCACTGAATTAAAATCACTGTCCTGTGAATCAGCCAAATCCAAATTGAATACTTCCCTATTCGCACAGGTCTATTCCCCATATCATTCTTTAGAACTCCATTATTGCTTTAAACCATGCATGTGTGTGTATATAGATAAGATAGATAGATAGATATATTTTAGAATTTTGTGAAATATTTTCAAAAGAAGAAACAGGCTCACCTATGTCCTTATTCATAACTCTTGCAAGATCTTCAACAGTCATGTTCTGCCATATCTCTACTACTTCTTTTTTAACTTTAGGTTTTATTGATGATAATTTCTGTTTTTGTTTTTTTTCCCACTACAAAGGAGTTAGATGCATACATTAGAATAAATTAAGAAATACATTATTAAAAATAAGAATGCAAACTTAAAAATGAGTTATAAACCAATTCCTTCATCTACATTACATACTAAAATTATTCAAGAAACTATAAAAATTACTCAATGCTATTTTTGCTTCTCTTTCATCTAGAGCCCTGAAAGTCAATCAAATATTTTTTACTATCACTTCTAATCAATTTTTCTTACCAACTGGTGTCACAACATCTGGTTTTAAAATACTTCAATTATTTGAGCATATTTGGGAGGGGGGAAAGAAACTGCAATTCATTTGCATTTGTCTTATAATTCTAGAAAAACTTCTCTATCTAAAGCAATAGTTCCCAAACTGTGGGTCCCAACCGCAAATGGGGTTGCAACATCAGCAGTTAAGTTTGCGAGATTTCTGCACCCACAGTGGGGCATCGGGATGCAAAGGGGCTGGATCAGCTCTAGGCAGGAGCCGCCTCCACAGTCTAGCAGGTGAGGACCCAGCACAGAAGGGAGCACACCATCATGGCCTCCAAAGTGAGGTATGGCAGTAACCGCATGGAGTTGTGCCCCCACTGCTGCTGGGAGTGCTCCCTCCCACATCAGGTCCAGCCTGCTGGGTCATGGAGGCCCCAGGGGGCAGGGTAGCAGGAAAGGGAGCCCCAAGCCTACAGCAGGCAGCCTGCATCCTCCCTCCCCATTGGCTCTGCTCTGGCCATGCTGCCCACAGGGATGGGGACAGGGGAGGGAGGGCAGGAGCCAGGCTCCAAACTCCACTCAGGCTGCAGCAGCTGCCCCTCCAAACAGGTGTCAGCCAGGGCTTGGGTGCTGAGGCAGGGCAGGGGGCTGTGGGCCCTGGTTCTAGTGCACTGGAGGGGGGCTGCAGGTTGGGAGGGAGAGGCAACAGCAGGCCCAGGGGGCTGTGGGTCAGGAGTGAGCAGCACTGGCAGGGCCATGGGGCTGCAGGTTGGGAGTAAGGGGCCATTATGAGGAAAAGTTTGGGAAGCACTGATCCAGAGTAATTTTACATTGCATACAATAAATTCACTACAAACAGAGCTTCTATCTATACAATGAAAACACTTCTTGTACTGTGTACTTTCAGACAGAAAATAAAGTAACTGTTGGAACAGTTAATTACCGTGTCTGTAGCTAAAAGCCTATATTGCGATAATGCAACACTGCTGAATTTGTTTGCTTGCCAGAGCTGTGAATACAGCTGAGCTGACAATGTGGGGTATGCAGATGGGTGCAGAGGCTTCCACTGTGCCCTGTGAACTTTTCTGTAAGGCAGACTATGCAGCTGCCGGCAAGCACAGTGTAAATGGACCAGGTTTTCCAACTTCAGCACTGTTGCTCGGTTCATTTTTCTACTGTGAAGAGTAAGGACATGTTGAAATACAACTTTCAGCTTTAAAAAGTATCTCCCAATTTAGCAATACTTTGAAATCAGCAATCTAAGGAAGAAAAAAGAAAACATTTTCTTGAAAAGATAAAATGAGCAAAATATATTTAGCAACTGCAGTATTTTCTTTCAGATACTTTCCATTGTTTCTTCTTGCTCATTTCAAAAGTTTCTGTCCCCCTTTCTGTCTCTATTCACAAGTCAATGCGTTACTTGCAATCTCTTTTCAGGTCTCTTTGATTCTACCTAGTAACAGAGCTTATTAACCTTTTCAGACTCCAGGGCCTCTTCAAAACTTTTTGGAAATTAGTGGTACTCGCATTTAAAAATTAAGTTATTTTTTACAGTGCTTACTTCTTGCATCCCATGACACCTTTAAAAAAAATATCACAGGGTGGCAGTGTGGACAGCAGTGGGCACCGCACCCATGAAAGCAAGGCAGCACTGGCAGGGGCCATCTGGTAAGGCACTGGGGAGCTTGAGGGTGGATGTTTAGATCCCTGAAGGAGACAACTATCCTTACAGGAAGTAGAAGGGGGTGACAGTGGCTGCAGAAGGTGCAGAGGCTGGTGCTAGCTCAGCGCAGGACTCTGCTATGTCCCGCTCTTTCCAGCACACATGGACAGCCTGTCCCCAGTCTGTACCTGAGCAAGTGAGCACAGCCCATGCAGTTAGAGCTGCCCTTCTGGGGACCTGAATGCTAGCAACTGGAGCCACTATTCCCCACAGCCTCTCCCACCAATTCAGAGCATGGGAGGAGTGAGGAAACGAGCCAGGCTGAAAAACACAGCTCCCCATGCGTTTTCTGCAACAAAGCAAACTGCTCCAAGCACAGGGGCAGTTAGTACAGGGGCTGCTGGATGAGTGGATGGCAGGAGTTGTATTTTTTAGTTCAACTTCTTCCCCCACTCCTCTAATGCTCCCAGAGCTGATGGAAGGGGCTGTGGGAAATGGTGCACCAAGGTGACACTTGTCCACGGGGTGCCCAGCAGGTGAAGGAACCAGCGCCTCCTTGCACAGGTGCACACCTTGCATAGTGGCCAGGCACTGCAACATCCTTCAAAGGATCTCACAGTACCCTGCCTGAGAATTGTCAGTCTACAAGTATAAAATTCATGCTGGTCTTACTATATTGGATGTGGCCCCTGCTATACAATTAAACACCTCCACCAGTTATATTGATGTAGGTTTTCTAACTGTAAGCATGCTGCAATGGTACAAAATACTTTACATACAGAAGCAAACTGCATCTTGCATAAGTCCTGCTCTGAATGATCATCTTTAAAGGTTTACGCCAGTGTAATAAAATCAGCGCAGTCATATCAAACCAGATCTGTATAACAAAGACAGATCTTTTTCTGCCATGCCGGCCCTGTGCTGCAGGCAGTGCATGCTAGCCCCGTGCACATATGGCCTGAACTGGCCTGGTCCCAGAGCCAGTGTGCAGGGTTGGTCTGGCAAAGGCACAAGGTGGAGCTCACATCTCAGACTGACCCCTGTGCCACAAGCAGCACCAGTGTCACATGAGGGATCAGTTTAAGATCCATAGGCCGGATCATGTAGCTCCATGGGCTGGATCCAGCCTGGTGACCCTAAGTTTGACATGCCTGGTTTAGACCGTGCTACCAGTCTTGATGCCTGGTGTCTTCTCTCTCAGACATTTCTGTGCCATCTTCCATGTAGCCATTTGTGCTTGAACTCCTGAATTCACTATATCCAAAGCCGTCTCTAAAACTCATTTATGTTGCAATGCCTGTGACACCAAGCAGAAGGCAGTAACCAGACAACCAGTAAGAAATCAAGACAATGGACTGGACTCGAGATGTGAATGACTTACTGAGCAATCACCTGACCTTACTGCTATCACCCTTGTCCTCCAACACTGAATCTTGTTAACTCAAGATCAGATGCTTTTCTGGATTGGACTCCTTTCATGTGTCAGGCGCACAAAGCTAATAAGGCACACAGGACTTGCAACCCAAATCTAGAAATGCAGGCTTCAGTCCAACTGCCCATTGGCTTCAGCAGCAGTAAAAACTAAAGACTTCAGAATTTGAAACAAAGGCTGAAACTTCATTTGCTGCAGATTTTCATGAACTGTAGGTCTTACATATGTGTGCATAAGTTACTGAACATCCAAACTGATTATTTAAAAAAAAACAACCAGCCAACACTGATGACGTCCAACGGGAACACTGGGATGTCCTTGCTTTTCCAAATCAGATTTTTGCTGTTTTAATACATTGGGTATAGCTTTAAAGACACAAAAGGACAGCACCCCGGACTGCTTCCGGTGCTTTCAGAGGATGCATAAAACACAGTTGATTTTCACCTCAGCCCACATTGAACCAGTTAGGAGATTGCAAGTAGCCAGTTAGCAACTAGGCAGATCCCCAAGGAGCTCTGTGAGGAGCTGACTAGCTGAAAAGCATTGATGTTCGGGGAGAACGGATCACCCCTTCACCAGGCAACAAGGGTGAAGCGGCTACAGTAGGTGCTGCCAACCTTGCAGCTCAGAGAACCCGACAAGTGGCAGGGATTTGGCGTGCGCAGGCTGCATCCATGGGTGCAATGCAGAGCACCAGCCTGACCCCACACTGGATCTGGCCCACGGGGATCCCCAGAGGCTGGACACTTGGCAGCGGGGGGCAATGAATGCTGCCACGACTCCCTTGCCAACAAATATCTGACCCCGCGGAGCTGCACACCCCTGCGACGTGCTTAGACAAGGAGCTCCCGCCCATGGGCACCTCCCCCTAGCCTGGGGCAGAAGCCCCACCCCCCGCGCGCTACCAGGGGCCGTTGGCGGGATACACGCGCCGCTCGGAGCGTTCGAGGGGGCCGGGCCGGGCCCGCCCCGCCCCGCCCCTCACCTCACCTCACCTCGCGCGGGGGCCCCAAGCCGCCCTCCAGCCCGGGCCTGAGAAGACCGGAACTCATCCGAAGACAGGAAGTAGGGCAGGCGACCTTACAACCCAGAAGCAATCGGGAAGCAACGCGTCGGACACACGTGGTGGGAGGCGGGGCTTCCTTGCGCTGGCCAATGAGCAGCCTCGCGCCCCGCCCCACCCCTCTGCCTGCGGCCCAGTTGCTCCAGCTAGAAACAAGCTGGAAGACGCTGGCGTTGCTGGATGCGCGGGTGCTGGCAGGGTTTCTACAGGCATGGACTCGATCCCTGCTGCGGGAGGGCCGGCATCTCACACCGGCCGCCCTCAGCTAGCCAGGCACAGCACACCTCACCGCAAGCTCCGCACGGAATCGCGGCAGCCCGGGTCCCGCCTCTGAAATGTCGCTGCGTGCTGGAGATGTCCTGGTCCACGACCGTGCCCCCTGCTGCAGGGGAAGGCAAAAGCCTCGCCAAGTCCTGCCAGTCTGACCGAGGGGTGGAATGCCTTCCGGACCCCAAAAGAGGCCCTGCAGCCAGGAGCCTCGACTTCACTCCTAGCAGGAGATCTGACACACCCCAGTCAATGTGCCCCAGCGTTGGCTGTAGCCAACACAAAATGCCTCTGAGAGGCTTAAACATACACATGTATGTATGTGGTGTGTGTGTGTAGATAGATAGCTATATCTAGATACAGAGATAGCTGCACATATACACATAGAGCAAAGGGAGGGGTGGGGGAGCAACCAGCAGAGCCTACAAGCATGGGAAATACCCATACTGAAACGTAAGCAAAGCATAGCTAGCCTAACCCTAGATCATATCATCCCTAATCAGTGGCTGTCCAACCTCTTCTTGAACACCTCCAGTGATGGAGGGTCCACAACTTCCCTTGGCTGTCTATTCCAGTGCCTCGCTCCTAACAGTAAAGAAGTTTTTTCCAGATATCCAGTCTAAGCTTACTTTGCTGCAAGTTAACGTGTCAGGTCCGTATCCTCCCCTTGTCATATTGAAATGTTTGTAATAGTTGCCCATTAGCCAGTTTAGGAAAAAGGCAAGATTCATCTTCTTATCTAGGCCATTGTTTTGGCCTACGTGCAGAAGGTTTGGGCTTTGCTCAAACTCTTAACTCTTGATTTTTATCTTTAGAGGCCTTTAACAAGGTTAACCTAAAAATGACCCTTAAGCAAACATCCCACATTCCGAGAAATCAAACCCTAGGAGCCTTTGAAAAGATTGGAAAGAAAGGAAATTCCCCAAAGTAATTAAATGGTCAACAAAAGAAACTGACCCCAGCAGAATCTGTTGAGTAAGACCCAAGCCCAAATTTGGGAGTAGTGACAGGTTTGGGTAGGAGGGGCCCAAGACGGCAACTCACTCAATAAAAACTGTAACCTACTGTCCCAATTTGGAGGTAACCTCACTTGCAGAACAACTAAGGAAGAATTGCAAGTGTAGGCCAGATTAGGCCGATCACCTGAACCACCCTCTCCGTGAACACACATCTCTTAGTTCACGCTGAAGCTGCAGAGCGCTCGAAAGGGACTGAAGGAAGGGGACTTAGTCCTATCAGTATTGAGGTGAGCCCATTGAACCGTACTGCTGAGGCGAGCCCATTGAACCATATTACTGAGGCCAACCCATTAAATTGTACTACTGAGGAATGAAAGCATATCTAGGTGTTTGGCTTCTTGGAATTCTAGGATTGTAAGTATATTATGAAAATAATAGTATTGATTCAAATTTAACTTTTAGTTGTAATTGTAATTGTTTTAAGGAAGTGTATTTGGAGCATTGTTTCTGATATATGTAGTTATTGTGTTAATGTTTGTGGTATTTCTTAAAGCTAAGCAGTGTTACATGCGTAGCAAATAATTTTAAAATAAAATTGTGTTGTATGAATTAAGTGTGCAATCATTGTGAAATCGTGCAAGTAGCTAAAAATTTCCCCAGTCAGTGCATCAAACGAATCAGTAAGTTGTGTGGGATTTTCTCTATTCCATAACCCACTAGAGACACCCCTCTGCAGCAAGAGAGAAAAGGTGCTTTCCCTCTTCTCTATGGCAGCCCTTGAAGTCTTTGAGAACTGTCGTGTCCTTTCTTAAGGACCTTTTCCACACAGTGAACATGGACATAGCAATTATGTTGTGTTCATCTATAGTGAAAAAATTGTACACGTGACATCAGCTGGCAGTGGCAGGAGTCCTTCAATACAAGGGTGGCTCTTCCAGTAAATAAGGAAGCCACAGGTGAGTCCAGAGATGACTGCAGAGGCATCTTCGAGACCTGTGTGTTCAACAGCAGACATGGCCAATAGTTTCGGGCTCTTTCCTTTTTCTTTGTTTTCAAGGAGGCAAGAGTACCAAATGGGATCGCTCAACTGTCCCTCCACAACCACAGGGTGTGCAGATCCCACCTGTGATGTAATCAGTGGGTTTTGAGTAGACCCAAATAATCTGTTTTTGAAGGACTTTTAAAATTAGAATGTAAAATAGTTACTAGGGATCAGTGCAAATATGCTTTTTGATTAATCATATTTTTTGCTGACAGCTGGAAATTATTCCATTTATTGCCATAATGATCTTTTAATTAGCATTGAAACATGTTGTATCCACATGTCTTGTAACCACAGATGCGTACTGTTGCAAATTAAGCCTTTATTGTAGGTTGCTTATTTTTGTAAAAGATCTGGGAAAAGCCCACAAATTATTTCCGATGCTATAGCTAAGGATGATGTGTTAGGTTCTAGAAACTTTTTCTGTTGAACTGTGTGGTCAATTATTTGTTTTAACCCTTCTTTGAAATAACCAGTACTTATTATTTTTTGCTTTTATTGTAGTAAATGTACACATTTTCACATACTCATTTTAACTGCATATTAGGTTACTTGTCTTGTTTTGAATTTATTTTTTGTCATTCATTACTGGTCAAATGGTGGGTGGGTAAAGCAAAACTGCGTGTCTGTGTCCATATTAGCATGTGGAAGGCCCTGTAAATGTACATGCAAATAAATAGTTAAATAGATAAATATTAACTTGTATGTATGTGGTTATGGCAGTTAAGCATATACTTAGGCTTTTTACAAATCTGGTTGCTATTAAAAGTCCATACGCATTCATATAAAATCACAACCAATATCTTTTAAAATTAATGCTTTAAAAATTCAGCTCCTTTCTTGAGGTGCATCAAATTCTAACTAGTGTTGCTCTCACACACACACTGGGAAACCTAAAGGATAACAGTGAGCACTAGCCAGCCCATTCCTGTATGCTCTGGATAGTTACTGGTGTCACAACCCAGTGATTTTTGGTGCCTCGGCACAGTGGGATTTTCTTGCCACATGAGAGCCTCTTGCACAGCGAAAGTTTTTGTTGCAATTAAGAACCCGCTTGCAGGAGAGTTCCCGCCAATTTGCAGGGTGCATTTCTTCTTTGCAGCACAGAAATGCACGGTGCAAAGAGTTCCCGCCATTCGAATGCAAATTTGTGTCCCGCTATTGGCCAGTTCTAAATTATTCACACGTGGCGGCTAGTAATTGGCTTGCTGTCCATTTAAAATTCTGCGCGACTTCCACCCAAGTCGAAGAACTTTGAGCACGCTGCAGAGTGCCTCTAAAGAGATCTGACTTGCGGCTAGCTGATCGATAGACTGATCACCTATCGATCCTTCTTCCCGTCGCCCAGATGTACCCTTTCCCCGCCGGCTTGATTTACGGACGGATTTGCTGGCTTGGGCCCCGCCAGCTGGAACAACTCGCGTGGTTGTTCAGACGACCGGACCAGCTGCATCGCAACTCCACGCGGCGTAAGTAAACGTTTTTGCAACCATTAAACCTTGTCTGCCTCTCCATTCACCAGCCTGCCCTAACATACGAGCAATTTCTAACTCAACTCGAGTCGGCTCTGGCCGTCCGAGACAACTGGGAGATTAGTTCCAAAGCTTTCCTATAATTATCAAGACAGAAAAAGTGCAGCAGAACTTGGGAAATCAGTACGGTGTACAGGCTTGTGGAGCATGTAAGGGTGTCTAAAGCATAGCTGTCTCTAATTTATTCCTGCAACTAGCTAGAACATGCAGGACAGCCTGTGCAAAGGATTGATCTGAGGCAGAATACAGCTGCACATCACCATGTTTGCTGCAGCTGTGAGGACACTGCACATTTTTTTTCTGCATTAGCTAGAGTGCAGTCCATAATTACTATCTCTTTGTTATTAGAGAGGCACAGCTGTCTTTATGTTCTTGGAAACAGTTACTTGTACAGGATGAACTGGCATTTCTTTCAGATGTGGTGGAGTCCTGTCTTCTCAAGAAAAGTCTGCCTTTAAAAAATTAGTAACAGGCAATTGCATTACTTTAGTTTTTACCACACTGGAATCAAGAAAAAGAGCCAAAAATCTCTCTCTGTAACATGAGATATATATTTTAAGTTAAATATTGTTTTCTGGTAAAGGGCAAAATGTTTCTCCAAGAGGAAGCTATGGAGAGTTCTCTGGTTCTTCAGTGCCTAATTAGGATGACTGAAGGAGGGATTTGTAGGGACCGGCCATGGAAATGCCTGGCTTATCTGCGAATAGCACCATCTTGGACACATACATTTGGACTCCTTTCAAAAGGAACATTTCAAAAGAGCAGCAGCCAGATTTTTCTAATTGTTATATGGTGTGAATTAACTGAGAACAATTCAAATGCAGTGAAACACTCCAACTTTAAAGCTACTTCATCCAGGTTAACATTGGAGCAGCTTTGCTACATTTGAAATGTTCTTGGCTCCTTCATACATAATTCAAGCACTCCAGCTGTTGCCCTTTTGAAGCAAGGGCTCCAGATGGGGTTGCTACAAGTCTCAAACTTGACCCAACCTTTCCCCAACGTGCCTAATCCTGCTGTTTCTGAGTGGGTAGTAAAAACTTAGCTCTTCCTCAACACCTCACCTACAGCAGAACCTAGTCACCCACACCTCCTCATGTGGATCTTGTGGGCAACTTCTTAGCCTCTCTAATGTGGCCTAACATTTAAATCAAACCAGAGCTCTTAATCCTCTGATCCAATTTGCAAATTACATCTGTGCATCTGGTTTGATTAACAAAGCTGTTTGCATTATTGAGCACATCCTTAATACATAAACGCTCTGCTTTTCTTTTGATGCTCCTCTCTCTCTAAATAAGAGAAGCTGGATCCTGATGCCTTAACTTTTCCTATAATGCGCCTCCTTTAATCTGTCTGTCGATAAGCACCAGTCAGCATAGTATCCTGTTTTAAAGCCTCATTACTAGAAGGGATGCCATGATGTAAATTATATCCAAAGTTCACACTCAGGTTTGCTGAATCCTCGGTATTCCACCTTTTTTAATATCTGTCTTTTTAATTATTGAGACATCTTAATACAAATTAAGAGTCTAACTCATAGGATCTATATTTAGCCTAAACAATCACTTAACAAAAGCAAAAGTTGCTAATGTCGCTGCATTGATTTTGCTGTCTTGTTTTGCCCCCCTAGTTGCTCTTATCTGTGTAAATCAGACCTGGTTTACCCTGGATTTCATAGGATTGTGAATTCATGGAGCCAGGGAATATCTCTGACTTCATGTTTGTACCAGGACCTAATACAAGGGAGCACCAATCATTGCCAGAGCCTCAGATTACCACCATAACACAATGAATTATCATAAAAATGGCCATTCTTGTGTTTGAATTGTTTGCATATATAATCTCATTAACTGGGATTTGCTTTTTGTTTAAGAAATAAATATCAACAATCCCTTTCACAGGGAATTTGTCCACAGGTTAGTTACATAACACAGTCCTGAAGCCTTCTGTCAGATGACAGGGCTACAGCTTAATTAAGGTTCCACCATCCCTGTGTGTGTGAATGCAGATATGTTAATGATTTGATAGTGGGATCTCTGTTGCAGCTCTCTCTAGTTAAAAAAACCAAACAAACAAACAAACCTTTACGTAGATAGATGTACACAGACACTAAGAATGACTGGTAGCTGACATTTAAAATACAATGTATTCAATACAAGTTGTATTTTCAAAACACTTATTTGAATCACAGTTTTTCCTTGCAAAACATCCAGTCCTGAATCTGCAGGCAAGCAGGATTCATATTATTTGGCTCCATGCCTGAAACTGCAGCTTTTCTTTCCATAGGAATTAATGCAAATTTATTCCATTTGCAGCCAGTTTCCTACTTTGAAACTGTTCGCAGACTGCACTTACTAGAAAATAGAGTCCATGCGCTGATGAAGAACATAGTGGAAAATTCCAAAACAGCCTCTCACTTCTTAATCCTGACTGGCAAATCACTGCAGAAGGGTGCTGCAGAAAGGGAAATGTGTCACACAGATCTGGCTCTGACCTACTTAGCGAGCAAAGCTCTGCATAAGGCACCTTATCAAAGGAGACACCAAAAATCAAGCTTTTAACACGTGTCACTAAGTCCCCAGGAGGCAGGGGTGCTTGCTCAAGATCACCCCAGTGTTGTCTGTTTTCGGAGTGCCCTCCTCTGCCCCCTGCCCCTTCCCATGCTGGCCCTTCTACAGCAGGGGGGAGCCCAGGTTCCTCCCCACTCTGAGACCCTGGCCTTTCAGCCCTCACCTTCCATGGCTCTGTAGCCCTGATTCCAGGAGCTACCATCCACTTCTGCTCTTGAGAGAAGGTCTTTATTTCTAACTGGGGAGGCCAAGTGCAACAAAGCCATCAAGCAGACATCTCTGCTTCAAGAAAGGCACGTACCGAGGCAAAGGTACCAGCCAGAGGTTCTCTGCCCCTCCCTGCAAAGGCTTAAGCAGTTCCTCTGTCCCCAAACCAGGCAACACAGTCCACAGCACCCCCAAAGACTGCTCTGCTGTTCTCTTCCCAGCCTTCAAGCTCCTGAGCCCCCAAGATCCCCTGCTGGCCTCCTTCTCTCCAGATCCTCTTGTCCTCCACCTCTGCCTTGGCATTTAACCCTTCATTCTCTGTGCATAGGCTAGCAAGGTGAACCGAGTCACGCCCTCTTACACGAACAGGAACTCAGTGAACCCAGAAATCTTTGTGAGCCCCTAAAGAAGAATGTGTATTATCTAAAAGCTCATCTAACTTGATCCCAGCTAGGCAGTTGGTCCAATTAAAGGCTGGTGCTGAATGCACCAAAATAAGAAATCCTTGCCTCTCCAATGTGTCAGAACACAGCCAACAAGTCTGTCTGGTGAGCCCCGAACCCCCTCCCATTGCCAACCTGCACAGTCACTAGTTCACCTCTATGGATCGCTTCTCAGCCTGCTGGCTAACATCTAGCGCAGGGGTGGCCCACCCGCGGCTCCGGGGTCCAAACTTCCAAGTCCAACCAGAGTAACACGTTCGCTGCAAGCAGTTGTGTCACGTCATGTAATGCAAGGCCTATGGCAGCTGGCCACCGCGTGCTTGTGCAAAGATTCAAGGAGACGCATATTAACTTCTGAAGAGCCACGGGTTGGCCACTGCGATCTAATGGGGGGCATTGAAACTCTCAGGGCTGCGGGTCTGATGCCAGCCAAGCTGTGGCCCTCTAGAGAGGTAGCAGCCAGGTACTGGGTTTAACTGCCTGCTCCTTTCCTTGCCTTATTTGCACCTTCTTTGTCTTGGTCACTCCTTACTGGTGTGGGTAAAGCACAAGGGCGATGCTGGGCTCCACGTTAGTGCGGGGAAGCTGCGGTGAAACTGCAGAGGTCGGTGGCTCCGCAGCCCCTTGCGCAGGCAGCTGAGCCCATCCTCGGGCTTTCTTCCAAACCGTGCGAAGCCCCTTCGCCTGAGGCCAGAGCTGAGGGCCTGGCTCTTCCTGAGCTTGGGTCACTGGGATTTGGGATTCGCAAGAGGGCTGTATCAAAAGGACGTATAACCCCCACAGCTGTGTCGATCCTTTCTTTTTGTTGCATTCCCCCCCCTCACAACACCCGCTGCCTGGCTCCGGGCAGGGGCCGCCCTCACGCCGCCGCTCCCAGACTGGGCATCAGCCCGCTCTGCGTGGAGCACCCCGAGGTGCGGGCGGGGGCGCCACGTGGCCGCCGGGGGGCTCCCCGTGTGCCCGGAAGCCGCTGCCCCGCGCGGGCCTTTAGTTTGACAGCCCTCCATCCCTTCCTCCTCTCCAGGTCTTCACGGTGGAGGAGCTGATGCGGCACGTGGGGCATCTAGGCGGCGGGCACAGCAAGAACCTCTTCCTGAGGGACAAGAAGAAGAAGGGGCTGTGGCGGGTGACGGCGCTGCACGACCGGCAGGTGAACCTCAACGACCTGGGCAAGAAGCTGGGGCTGGGCAGCGGGACCCTCCGCTTCGCGGATGAAAAAGCCATGCAGGAGAAGCTGAAAGTAGGCCAGGGCTGCGCCACCCCCTTGGCCCTCTTCTGCGACACCGGCGGGGACGTGAGGTTGGTGCTGGACGCCGGCTTCTTGGACGGGGGCTACGACAGGGTCTACTTCCACCCCATGACCAATGCTGCGACCATGGGCCTGACGCCTGAAGACTTCTTGAGGTTTGTGAAGTCCACGGGGCATGATCCCCTCCTCATCCACTTCGAGGACAATGCAAAGTAGGCAAATATCACCCTGCTGCAAATTTTGCCAGGGCTTATTAGCCGATGACATACCAGCTACTTACAAATAACAGGCGGGCACTTACGTTTTTCACTCAGCAGCTTTGCATTTTATAACGCGGAGTTTCTTTTCTAATGCAAACACAACCTTCACATTGTTCTAGAGTTAAAAAAAAAACCATTTGCTTCTGCTACAAGATTAGTTTTTGATTTTGTGAATCTGATCTCTCTACATCTCTTGCTACACCACATACAGTTCCACTCTAGTCGCTTCACAGTATTCTCTTAACAAATTGGATAAAACAGAAACTTTTCTTCATTCACGCTGAACTGAAAGTTGAGAGGAGGGATGCGCTGGCTCAGCCTGGAGTACTGCAACATTTGCAAAATCAGTGGGACTGTGTTCTCAAGTGGCAGAGTCAGTCATGAAGAGGGAGGTAGATTGCATGCCTCCCTCTGCATTTGCATTGTGTTGGTTTGCCTAGAAACACAACTTTGCTATATTAAAGAAAACGTTTGAGTGTCTATTAGCTGTGGTGCAGGTTTATTTCCTTTCCATTTTCACAATTAGTTCAGTCCTGCAGTCTCACTGGAAACGGGGTCTCTGCTGGTATCAGTCCCGCGTTCCAGCCATTGGGTTTCCTTTGTTTAGACAGCTACTTTGATATATGTTGTGGGAAATGAGAGAGAGAGAGACCAAGTTCAGATTTAAGGCCAGATTCTCTCTTTTCTCTTTAAAGCCAGCAGGGACTGGAAATTCCCACAAGAAACCCCTTGTTGAGTTTGCTCCAGCTTGTTCTTTCACGGAGCAAGAACCTGCTGTCCAACAGAAAAGCCAGAGCACAAGGGTTTCAGAGGCCAAGCTCCACCTGCTAAGAGGCTATGCAGAAGCTCAAGTCCATGGTGACTCCCCACTTAAGGAGTAACACGCATTAGTTCCTGGGAATGTACTCTCTCCACCTAGTCATTCCTCTCATCACCTTAACAGTGCTCTACAGGAAGGGCACCTGAGCTCGTCTTCTGCACAAGGGTTATAGCAGCTGCGTGTGGTGAAACTGTCCATATATGGATCTGGGAGGGGAGATTCTAAATTATCACAAGAGCTGGGGGTCATTGAAAAGAATGTTATGTACCTGGAGCTGTGTGTCCAATTTTGGCCATGCTGTCCCAGAAAAAACTACCCAAGATTTTTTTTTTTTTGTGTGGCTCTTAAAAAAAACAACAAGCAGTTGCTCCCCAAGGAGGGAACAAGCACCAGGTCTGGAAGGGCCATAGCCAGTTGACATCATCTCCTTGGTGTCAAAAATGCTCGATCTTAACTGGAAGGCCAAGGTACTGATTTTTTTGTAATTGTTTCCGAGGCCAAAACAGTTACAAATTAAGTCCCAAATTTTGACTGAGCAGAGCTCAATCTTTCAAGTCTATATGACGCTACCAAAAATATCCTGCCTCCCAGACTCCCCAGTCTGGGTCTTCAGCTACTCCCAAATCCATGGCAAGCATCCTACTGTGCAGGTCCTAGGTCCTAAGGCCTTAGAGCTCAGATACACCATAGCCTTACCCGCTTAGCCAAAAGGCCAAAGGAGCAAGTTAGGGGGAAACCCCAAAAGCAAATCCCCCACCACCGTAAATTATATAGCTGAGATGCTCACATTTAGAGGCATTTGTAGATTCACAATGGTCAGCCTTCCCCTCCGTGCTCTCTTGCAAGTTTTGGTGAGCCACTACATTACATACATTTTTATTTCTTCTTCACTCCCACAGCTGAGCTGTCCCTTTTTTTCCCATTTCCAATGATTCCTGTTTCTCCACCAGCCTTAAATGTCTGGCAAACAACACAAAATGGAACCCCAAAGAGTTTACTGAGAATCCCTGTCACCCCCTTTCTTAGCCTGGCACAGTGAGGCCCTGCCTTCCATGAGGTGGAGCTGGACCAGGTTGCCCTGCAGTTCATCTGCATATACATTTTTAGAGCATCCCAGGGCTCAGGACAAGAACATTAGGTTCCAGTCTTAAGTTGGGGTTCATTTAGCATGTTGATCTTGTGGTGGTATTTAGAGTCCACACACATACTGAGCTAGGGGGTCACCATGGCTGGTAATGCTGTTGACTGGTGGGGCCCAGCCCAATGAACTATGTTAGTAAATCATGAGCTTTTGGATTTGGACTAATAACATGCTAAGATTTTGAAACATTTGAAGCGCCGGGTGGTGGTGACTGGTAGTAGGGCCACAGTTCTTGAATGACTCATGGGTTTGGAATTGATTTGGCTTGGAACAAGAAAACATTTACTTAAAAAAAAAAATCAAGCAAGACAGGGGGCACCTGAACCCCAAGGTCTCTGGTCCTTGGGCTTGTGTGTAAGATGCGTGCCTGGATTTGGGGAGTATCCAAAGCCCCAAACTAATGGGTCTAGGAGGGAGCCACACAGCCTTGATTATTGAGCTCTGCTCAGTTGAATTTTGGAACTTGACTACTGGGGTTTGCTCAACTGAATCTAGAACTAATTTGGCCTTTGAAACAAAATAATAATAATAAAAATGTTTGTATTACATGTAAGTAGGTGCCAAAGTGCTGCTTAAGGGAATGTCCATGGAGTACCTGTGCTAAAACTTGCTGTTTTTAAAAAAAGGTAACATGCATCAATACTGGGTGAACTAAGTACATGGGTACCATCTGCAAATTGCTACAGCCATGTTTACATTCAAGGTTATTGTTTTTTAATTTCCTCCTTACTTCCAAGTGCTCAGAGAGAGCAGGGTCTGACAATAAGGAGACAGGGAAGGGGCTGCTAGGGGAACAAGTTGGGGTAGGGGGAGGAATCAGAGAGCAAAGGAGCCATCTGACCCCCCAGATTTATTTTCCCTGCTGTAGCAGTAGGAAGGAGGACAAATTGAAGGCAAAACTCCAATAATTAGATTCTATACCTGGAAAATGATAATTTTATACATTTTCCCATATATAGAATCTAATTATTCGGGAGTCATCTTCTAATGGGGGTCATCTTCTGTTTGAGTAGATACAGTAATAAAGACCATTAAAAACAAAATATTTGAATTCTAAAAAAAGGAATCTCTTACAAATACAATGCAAGATCTATCTCTAGGACTTATGCTACATTTTAATAATATACCCTAGGTCTTCAAAGGATTAAAAAAAAAAGGCAGCCTTTTATGTATAAGGAGAACATACATAATATGATGTTGCATTTTTTTTCTCATAACAGAATTAAATCCTTTATTTTTTAGAAATTAAGACAATCACTAACTGATGTGAATTAGGAAAAAAAAATTCCATTCAGCTGATTATTTCAGTATTATCCATGGCACGGTTGTTAGCATCTACTGCTGAAACATTTGACATTTGCTACTTTTAGAGTAGCTGAACTATGAGGGACAGGTGACCTGGTGTGGCAATTCATATTTTCTTGCCCACCAAAAAGGTGCATATTCACCATAGGTTTTCCATCAATGCAGGATAGCAGATGCCTCACTAGGGTAAATGTTTGATCAGAATGGGCTGATCAATTAGGCTAGCAGAACCTATATGGAACAGTAGATAGGAAGATGATCAGCTACATGGACTTTTGTACATTTTAGTTAAATAAAAGATCTAAATACAACATCTAACAATGAGTAGGCAGATTCAATGAACTTTCTGAGCATTCTGGATCCACAAACCACAAGACAGCAGGACATTAAAATGCAGACCTAAAAATCAGCAAATGTTAAAGTACTGAAAAAAGCACTCCATTTAAGGTATCTTCTTCTGGGCACCCAAAATCCCTAAATGCTTTTGAAAATGTACACTAGTATTTCTATGAGATATCCATTAACTATTTTGAAGTCAGAAGACAACATTCTGAAGGAATAAAAATGGTTTTATTCACCAAGGCGCCCCCGGGGGTTACAAGAAATAATGGCCACAAGCTAGCAGAGAGCAGATTTAGACTGGACATTAGGAAGAACTTCTTCACAGTTAGAGTGTCCAAGGTCTGGAACGGGCTCCCAAGGGAGGTGGTGCTCTCCCCTACCCTGGGGGTCTTCAAGAGGAGGTTGGATATGCACCTAGCTGGGGTCATCTAGACCCATGCATCTAGCTGGGGTCATCTAGACCCAGCCCTCTTTCCTGCCTACGCAGGGGGTTGGACTCGATGATCTATTGAGGTCCCTTCCGACCCTAACATCTATGAATCTATGAAAAATGACTTCAATCACCTCAAATAAGGGCCATTAATGACTGAATGGTGCCTATATTTTTCAGCTACCTCTCCATTTGTGTAATAACTATTTGATATGTTTTGCAGGTCTTAAAGGCTAAGTACAGACAATCAAAAAGCCTGAGGCTGAATCAATTCAATCTAGGCAGCTTCCTCTAAGCTGTGTAGGTTGAACTGATATCCAATTTAACTGACATTCAGTTTTCAACTGGGAAAAGCCCAGGCCAGTAGGCAGGGGGCACTAGAGCACATCTCCCAACTTTCTGGCCATTGACAGCCCAGTCAAGTGTCCCCAAAGCTCTGCTGTCCTCCAACAGGAGGTTAAGAAGCCCCCTGTCTGGGTGCTGGCCCACCTTGGGGGAGCCTCCTCCTCAGATGGTTTCCCCCAGCCTGGGTTCCCCAGCCCAGACAACCCTGGGGAGCTGAGGCCCCCCACAGTAATTGCTTCAGTAGCTGCCAAAGGGGAGGGAGGAGACCTCTGGGCCAAGTGTCTGCCCATGCACCCCAGCATGGAGACACCAGGGAGTCCCCAAGTTGGTGGGGGGTCCACTCCAGCCCAGGGTCCCCCAGTCTGGCGCAGGCCCAGGAAGCTGAAGAGAGTTCTTTCCCTCCCTGACCCCAGCTCCTTGCTTTAGTTGCAGCAAGTCTCAAAGATAGCCTAGGGAGTGGAGGGAAAGTTCTCTGCCCTGCATTCGTTTTGCCTCAGACTTGCAGCAGCTAATGCAAAACTGGCTGTTGAGGAGCAAGAGAATTTCCCTCTGATTTCTGAGACTGGTAGGGCTGAGACAAACAGCAAACAAACCTGTTCTGTTACAGGTTTAAACCCATTTCTGATCACTTAACCTGGTTTATGTGTAACTTCTGTCCCCAGTGTACACAGAACCTCAATTTTCTTCCCTTCCTCCTCCTCAAAAAGTCCAACATTTCATACTTGGTCTTAGCAACAGTAATAGTCACCAAAAATCGAAGCTTCAAATACTGAATAGCTGAAATTGTGACATGTTTTATATTTACTTACAAATTTCCACCATATTCCTAATGTTTTTATAATACCCTAGCAATGTGTAGTCAAGAGCTGCAGTTCTTCACAAAATTAACAGCAGCAAGAAAAACTAAAAAGTAACTAGGAGCTCTACTCTACTCAGATGATACTCTTCTGAAGATAGAGCTAGTGTCATATTAATTAAGCACAGATTGATAATTCATTTAAAAACACATTTCTCCAATATTACTTTGCAGAATGTAAACACACACAAAGTGTGAATAAAATGGATTTGACATGTTAACAATGTAATGACAATGTATGAAATGACTACTTAAACAGTCCTTAATATGTATTTCTTAAAAAATAATGTGGTATTTTATGTAAAATGGTGTTTAAATTCTATGTCACACCCAGATTCGTTATTTTAAGGCAATTTTATTATCAAAGTTATTATCTACACATACAGTATCGTCTACACTAAAGATCATACATAAGCTCCTTTGCTGAAATTGTATCATGTCTTAGAGGAAGGGTTAAAGAAATAATACATTTTGGAAATGTTATTGTAGCATCAGACGAACCTTTCCCAAAAGAAAGTTAAATGGAAATTATACATAACATGGTATTACACCTATTGTAATCTTAAATTGGGAACAACACGTTTTCTTTTTTCTCTTAAATTGCTGTTGTGTTGCGTGCAGTTAAATAATTGTTGCATCCCCCAGATGTGTTTGCATTTTTTTATAGGTGTGAAGTGGTTCTCATATGACATTTCTCATAGATTTTATAAAAATAGTAGACTGTAAATGTAAGAGGCATTATAGTAGTGCAAGGCTTTTATTTATTTGGTATAGAATAGATCATAACCCTTGGAGCAGAGATGATCAGCTTACGTTCCTCTACCCTGTGATATGCTCTGTAAGGGAGATAGTGTTAAGAGAGCAGCTACATGGAGGGATTCTGCACTTTTTTATATTCATAAAGATATATGTATATTTGGAATAGATCCTGCCTGTTACCATACAGATGCACTTGAGTACAGGAATGCAAGAGAGGCAAACAGTGTGCATAGGAGGGTGAGAATTTTAAATCTCAGCCAAACTCACAAGGGTACTGAAAAACTAAATAAATGCGACATCAGGAGAAGTCCCAGTCTGAGAATATGGACATGGCCAGTCAGAAATTTGGTGAGGGCATTCTACAGAAGTGCACGTTAGTCATGACAGCTGTGCAGAATGTATTTCATAGAAAAGCAACAGAACAGGCAACATGCAGTGCTTTGGTCCTGCCAATATGCCATTCTTGACCTACACTGGCAGAAATTTTTTCAATGAATGCAGGCAGGCATACCTATGAACACAGAGCTGCGTAATCCCTGTACCTGTACCCTGTAACTTGGATTTGGCCATTAAAATGTAGGCCAGGTAAATCGAGATGGCTGTACTTACCGATACTACCAACCTTTCTACTATGGCATGAGGTGCTGAATGCCATTAGTCCCAACTGAACCTTGTGAAAAAGGGCTATTTACAGGATTAGAGTTTTAAGAATGCAGAAGTATGATTAAGACAGAGCATGAGAGAAATGCCATATATTATCAGACCTTTATAATAATGGGCAGTGTCCTAATTAACACTTGCACTGTGCTGTCTACCAAATAACATAAGGAAACCTTTGCTTTAGCCTATAATCCCAAAGCTTTTGCCATGCAAACTAATGTGTGTCTGCAACTAACAATAATGGGAACCAGAACGTACCTTCTACATAAGAGTCAGTGATCAAAAAAATCTTACCAATCTGAGAAAATATCACAAACGTGATTATTAGAGCTGAATGGAGAATGGAAATTGTTTTGTGGAAGATTTCAAATTTTTTCATTCCAATTATGAACAAAATCTAAAATGTTCACAATTTTCTTGAAAGAAAACACACATGAATTGCTTCAAGTTGATCAAAACATTTTTGTTTTTACAAGAACCAACTGGTTTGTTTTTATTTAGACTTCTATTTTAATACTATTATGCAAAAAACATTTAAAAACAAAAGTTTTTTGAAAAGGAAACATCAAAATGTTGCATTCCAAAAATTACCAGAATCCCCCCACCTTTGTTTTCCTCATTTACAAAATTTCATCAAAATTATTATGAGTTGACAAAGTGTTTCATTTTCAACAAAATACATTCGCCAATGGAAAA